AAGACCAAGGTAATTTAAATTTTAAACTCTTATAAAAAAGACCAGAGGAAATATATAAAATTTAATATAATTTTTCTGCCAAAACTTGTTACACAGTCATGGGTAATTTTGCATTTATGCAAAAACATATCGTGTTTGGGTCATTTCGGCCACAAGTTCATGAGTATTTTTATACCTTTGCACTTCTTTGATTTTTTTGAGTAAGGGATATTTTCATACTTTCATAAAATTAATGTGGACCCCACCACAAAAAATAATGGCCGTTAGTAAAATTTAACAGCTAGGTCATTTTGGTTATGTTTTCATAAGTTTATGGGTACTTTTGCATCTCCGAAAAATTTACGATAGTAGGTACATTTTGAGTAAAAATTTATGAGTATTTTTGTACCTTTACCCTGTATTTTATGTCGAATCAACAAGGTAAAATTCATGAATGTTTTAAATGTTTTAACTTGCCTGGTGGAAATTTTTTTTTTTTAACTTGAAATATAAAAATTATATTAACTTTTCTTCAACACAAAAGCCATGTCCTGGTATCCCCACTTTAAAGTTTTAAATTAAAAACATTTAACAAATATATGCAAATATATAAACATACGTTAAATAAATTTAAAATTAAATTATTTGAAAAACGCTAGCTCACAAGATAGGTAATTAAACTTCAATTCAACACCAATTATAAGTGTTGATCCGTGTACAGTGTACTCATAGTTTTTAAGTTTATGAGAGAAATGATATTATAATAACTCAGGACGTTACTCAACATCCATCTAAATTAATTTTATCAGTGAATTTAAATAAAATCAAAATCAATCAAATTACTGATGTAAAGAGACAAAAAAATAATTTTTTTTACTTTTATGTTGATAATAAATAAATTCTATTTTATCAATTTATTTTTTAAAACTAGGGGTTATGTTGTATTTTTTTGGCAATTTATATGGCACTTAGTGAGCATTTATATCAACTTCAATGAATAAATTATAAGCATAGAAATAAATATGTATACTATAGGAAACTAGGACTAAAGAAAAAGAAAAAAGAAACCAACAAGGAAATGATTAAAAATTAGATGAAACTATAAAAATTAATACGTTTACTTGTATGAGGGAAATAGAGGAGAAGGTAGGGGAGAAATTTTTTTTAATAAGCTCATTTTAAAAAATCGAAGAAGTAAGGTTATAAAATTTTGGTTAAAAAAAAAGATAAAAGAGTAAGAAAAATTAATTAGAAAATTCTAAACCACTATTTTTTAAAACAAGATCCTTAAAATTTTTTCTTCCACTCCTTTTTCTCAAGTGCCCTTGTACTGAAAGGTCCCATCAAACACTTTTAGGTACTTTTTCAAATGCATCTAATACCCTCAAGTATTTTGTGATGTATCCAGCACTATGAAATATTTTTTTAGGTGTGTTGAGTACCCTATGTTATATTTTAGTACATCTAACATCCTAAAATATTATTTTTTTTTGGGTGCGTTCGATATCTGGGATTATTTTTTGATGCATTCAGCACCTTATATTTTTAAACGTAAAATTACACTAAAAATATTTTAAGATGCTAGATCCACATAAAAAAATATATTGAAATACTAAATGTACCACTAAATACAGACTGTTGGATGTACTTGATGAAATACTTCATGTCGATGATTTAATATCTTCTCTGTTTTTTTTTTTTTTTGAATTAAACTAATCTGGGACGATCAATTGGAAGTAAGCCCAATTGGCCCGAAAGCAAACAAAATGGCCTAATCTGACAAAGCAACTATACCAAGTCATGTTGCCAAAAAAATGAAAAGCCACACCAAGTCGTGTGGGGCATGAAATGAGTTATCGTTTGATAAGCCCTATCTCTTTTTTTTTTTTTTTTTTTCATTTTTTAAACATTAATTAATCTTATAAGATCGCGCCCTATTATTCATAATTTTAAAAATGTTACTTTTAAGCATTATTTTTAAATACATATATAGTGGATGAAATAAATTATTCTCTAATTTTGTGGGCCAAAAAAATTATTCTTTAATTTTGATCAATAAAGAATTAATTTTCCTCGTATCTTTTTTGTTTTGTTTTTAAGCAAACCATTTGACAAGTCGTAGGTCATTAATTGGATCTGCATCATGGCTCCTTACATACATAACGCAGGTTGCGAATAAATTTTGCTGCGCTTATTTGAACCTCCCAAAGTCATAAGTGAAAGGGATATATTGCTTGATAGGTATCTATATTTTTTCTTAATTTTAAATTTAGTATCTATATGTTTTTTCCTATTAATTAAAGGGTTAAGGTGCATCCAGTACCCCTAAGTATTTTGCCAAGTGCACCCAGTGGCCTAAAGTAATTTAGGTGCAAATTTGCCGTCAAAGTAATTAAAATGATGCACCAGTATCCCATGCTAACAGATCTATTACTTTGACCGTGAAATTGATGAGTCAGCACAAGTTTGACCAAAATAATCTGACCTGGCATGTCTAATAAGCAGGTGACATGGCTTTTCTTGTTAATTCCATTGTTTTGTTGAATATTACTCCTCTAGTCCTATTTATAAGGTACTTCCAGCATGTTTCACATAGACCAAGGAAAATCTTAAATTTCATTAACCCTCATTTAAATTTTAATAACTTTCCAACTTTATCCTTATTTAATATACATTATACCTCATATAAACAAAGTCAACACAATAATAAATGAGGGGTAAATTTGTACATCCTTACAAAAAATTTCTCTCAGTGCCTTATAAATAAGACCAAAAAATATCTTCTCTCTCTACCTTATAAATAGGACTAGAGGAGTATATCTGAAAAAATTTCTTACTCTAAAAAAAATTCCAAGAGCCGAAGAGAGCATTTACTGAATAGAGAAAACAAAGCAGTGGCAGACGAAAAAAATTCCATATCACCTGCTTATTAGACATGCTAGGTCAGATTATTTTGGTCAAACTTGTGCTGACTCATCAATTTCATAGTCAAAGTAACAAATCTGTTAGCATAGGGTACTGGTGCACCATTTAATTACTTTGAGGGTAAAATTGTACCATAAATTACTTTAGGCCACTGGGTGCATATAGAAAAATACTTGAGGATGCTGGATGCACCTTAACCTCGAAAAAAATTCTACATCACCTGCTTATTAGACATGTCAGGTCAGATTATTTTGGTCAAACTTGTTCTGACTTATCAATTTAACGGTCAAAGTAACAGATATGTTAGCATGGGATACCGATGCACCATTTTAATTACTTTGAGGGTAAAATTGCACCATAAATTACTTTAAGCCACTGAGTGCATCTGGAAAAATACTTGGGGGTGCTGGGTGCACCTTAACCCTTAATTAAATACTTTAATTTTGTTTTGTTAGCACAATTAGCTCATGTGCAATAGCTAAAAATGCTAATAGAGCAAACTCACAGGAACTAACGATGCTAACAAATCAAACTTAAAGTCTTTAATTAAGAAAAAAATACATAAGTACCAAATTAAAAAATAAAAAAATATAGGTACTTGCAAAATAGTTTTTTAAAATTATTAGTGATTGTGCCTGGAAGAAAGACTTTAATAACAGACTTGTATAGATGGCGAACACTACATGTGTATGAGGGTAAAATTATATTACCTCCGTCCTTAATATAAGAACTAGTTAACTAATTTGAGTAGATTAAGAAAATTAATTATGTTAGTTATTTGTAATCAATAAGTACTGTTTTTCTTAAAATACCCTTGCTAATTATGTGTATTAGTTAGAACTACCATCTGATGAAATTTTTAACACATGCAACTACTACAGGAACTATTTCAAAAAAAATATTGGATAAATGTGAGAGACAAAGTGGATTGAAATTTTATATTTATGAACAAATTGAATGTCAAATTAGTTGAGGTAGTGGGTGGTTAATTGGTTTTGGTATAGAAAATGATAACAGATTATGAATTTTTTTTTAATGACTACGTTGCTTTTTCTGAATCCTCATAATAACCTTTCAATTCAACATAAGAAACTAAAAGAACTAGCCCACCAACGACCTAGCGGGGTTGTGGAATCAGGGATGAAAATATCCTTGACGACGATCAACTGCCGACCTAATCCATTAATAGATTCAAACACATGAGATTTATATATTTTCAAGTTAGAATATTTAAAACATTCATCAATTTTAAGTTCATTACATACATACCTAAAAGAACACACAAACCAAATATATGAGTTTTTATAAGAAAAACATATAATTTTTATTACTATTTAAAATTATATAATCGTTCTTTTTATATTTATCTTATTGTTATTATTCAATATGGTTAAAACCTTTTCGTCCTTATTATGAGAATCTCCTGTATATTTTATAGTATAATATGTTTTATCTAGAATGTTAATGTTTTACATAATATAAAGTGATTGTTAAATTTTCTAACCAATTAATCAAACTCTTTTAATTAATGATTTTTATTAAATATAAATTTAAGTTTTTACCAAAAAAAAACTAATTTTAACAAACTTTCTCAACTTACGTTAAATAGTTTAGTGGAGCTTACAAAAATGACAAGAATACAAGAAATTATAACAAAGTTTAATACTCTTCTCAATATATAAGGAACGAAAAGAACTTGCCCAGGCCACCAACAACTTGTGGGGTTGTGAAATCTGGAATGGAATGGTTGTGGTCAATGAAGTATAACGCATAATGGAAAGATCCGTTGACTACTATCTAATCCTCTGATAAATATTTGTAATCTATAAATTTAATACGTTATGTTTAGTTCTAACTAAAACTAATGAGAATATTAAACTTCAAGAGCTTGGTTGGTCAACTGCTTCTCTCTCATATCAGCTCCCTAATTTCATGCTATAAATACCCATCCTTCTATCCATCATATCATCCAAACGTATACTCCAACTCACTCACAAGTGTTCACCATCATCCTTCTCTCCAACTCATGGCACGCATTGAGTCTAACGTTCATCTTTCTCTAAAGAACATAACTTCTATACTTATTTTCTTCCTTGTCGTCGTCACTCCCATAAAGTCATCGCGAATCCTTACTGATTCAGAAAAATCTGCAGATTCTGCTGACGCCCCTATTCCCACTGTCCCTCCACCTGCGGCTGACGCGGCCGCCTTGGATAACGAGCACCACCCACTTGTATTCTTCATGCACGACATCCTCGGCGGGTCGAACCCGACGGCTAGAGCCGTCACCGGAGTGGTCACAAACCCAGCCGTCAATGCTCAAGTCGCCTTCGCCAAGCCAAACGGAGCAAACATCCCTCTCGACAACGGCCTCCCTCAGAGCAATGACAACGGCGGATTCCTCAACAACAACAACCTCCCCTTCCTCACCGGCCTCGGTGGAAACCCCGGAAACGTCGTCAACAACAACAACAACATCGGCGGAGCCGGATTTCCAGTGAATAACGTGAATCTTTTGCCAGCTGGGATGACCCTTCAGAAGCTAATGTTCGGGACAATGACAGTTTTTGACGATGAATTAACTGAAGGACACGAGTTAGGGTCAGGTTTGGTGGGAAAAGCACAAGGGTTTTACATAGCGAGCGCCATTGATGGGACCTCACAAGTTTTAGCTTTCACGGCCATGTTTGAAGAAAATGGATATGCTGATAGTATAAGCTTTCTTGGTGTTCACAGACTTCAAGTGTCGGAATCTCAACTTGCTGTTATAGGAGGCACTGGTAAGTACCTTAATGCGAAGGGCTTTGCCATTGCCAAGACCTTTCCTATTACCAACGACGACCAGCATACCACTGATGGCGTCGAGACTCTGCTTCAGCTCACTGTCTATATTACCTACTAGATCATTCTGGTTTTCCTTTTCCATGTAAACCTTGTTTGTGATTTGAAACTTCATGCTTCAACTTTAGCATATGATATACTTTTGTGGTGTATTCTGTTATGAATGAAAATGTTAACATTTCAACGTTCCACAATCGATCTTCATACTCACACATTTATATATATTGTGGGGCTTTAATCAAAGGCAAAATGCCAAAAAAAAAAAACTACTTGAATTTCAAAATCACAAATTAATTTTATCTCATACACTTTAATAGTAAGTGACTACACTTGAAAAATAAATGACAATACATTTTTGTAAGAATTCTTGATTTTGGATTTTGAAATTCAAGTGATATTTTTTTGGGGATTTCCCCTTTATCAAATTCACCTTTAATGAATTGGGAACTTATTTTTATAAAGGGTTACTATAATTTTTGGTTTTGAAAATTTGGGATCATTTTGGTTTTAGTTCCTCAAATTTCAAACTTATGTTTTTGTCTCGAGAGTTTAGTTTGTCTTAAAATGCAAGTCATTAGAAATGTACCGGTGTTAAAATCTGCTAAAGCATCACAAACAATGTTAAAATGATAATATGGAATTACCAGAGGATGCATAATTGGATCTTGCATAGATAATAGGAAGAAAAAGAATGGGTTCTCAAAACGCAATGCAGAGAATGATTGCATAGAGGGGAATGAGTTCCCAAATGTAGTGTAGTAAACAACTTCTTAAATGAATAGCGAGAAAAAGGGGGCTAAACAACTTGGTTCTGAGGACTTACTTTTTTTTTTATCCTCCATTATTTATACAAGATTCAGATGGTTGCTATATGATCAGTTTACATCACCACTTTAGTGCCGTTTATGACACTTGGGCAAATTTTAACACCGTTAGACCTTTAAGGACTAACGTCTTAACATGGATCAAATTTCATAGACTAAAATCATAGGTTTGAAATTTGAGAGATTAAAATCAAAATAAGCTCAATTTGGGGACCACAAATTATGTTAACCCTTTTTATAACTAAATAAATTTAAGTATATGGGTAAGCGTAAGCAGTTTACACTTATATGAAGGAGTGGCAGTTTCCGTATGTTGCCTGAAGAGAAGTATTGACTATATTGAAAAGGAAACTAATCCATCGTTTTGGTATTATGCATGAGGGAAACTAGTGTACTGTCTCTCTTCCTCTTAAACAAAAGAAACTCTTTCCCCTTTTTAACAAAACAGAGTCTAGGCTGTGAATTGTGATTCTAGCTTTTAAGAGATATATACGCAAACACACGCATTCTCATACTTGAAATTGTTTCTTATAATAGCCACACGGCTGTATAATTTTATGGCAGCAGACAAAGGATTGAAGGGAGGAAGTTGATCTGATTTACACACCAAGGATGCTTCTATTAAGTTTAAAGCATCCACGATTCATTTTGACGTGTGTGTGTGTGTGATTCTTAGGTATCTATATCAAAAAATTGTTTGTTATAAGTAAGCACTGAAGCCGCAATGCAATAATTTGAGCAAAACTAGCTCTTTCTGGATAAGAAAATTAAAAGACGCATGATACATGTTTTAAAATCTTTGATTCCTGAAGTTGGGAATATAATACTTAATTTGGTCATTAAATATTTAAAATAAACAGTTTGCTTTACCAAAATTTTAGATTTAATTTGTTAAGTACTACCTCTAATCCTTGATACAAGAGCTAGATAACTAATTTGAAGAGATTGAAAAAATTAATTAAATTGGTTAGTTGTAACAAATGTGTATTGACTTCCTTAAACTATCCCTTTTTAATAATGTACATTGGAAATATTCCTTGATAGAAACTTTTACAATTAATAAAGATATTTTAAGACAAAATTAGCTGAAATCTTATGTTTAGCACCAAATCAAATTCTTAACTAGCTCTTATATTAAAGAATAGAGGTAGTACCATATTAAAGCAGTATAAATGAATTAACTTAATTCTTAGATATGACTGAAGTACACTATCTTTTTTTAATTATTACATCTTGACTTCATAATTTCATTATCGCCTTATCCATCCACCGTTATGTCTATTTAAAAGCACATATCCTTTTCATCCCAAGAAAAAGGAGAAAAAGAGGGGAACAATGTGAGAGGTTTTACCCTATATTGTTTTTTAACAAGTTTTATTAAATATAAAAAATAATACTACTTCCAGTCCTAATTGTAAAACCTCGTTTGTCTACGGTTAGATATGAGGAGGTTATGTGTACGTTTAGATAGGAAAAATAATACTACTTCCGGTCCTAAAAAATAATATTGCTTCCAATTTGTGTACGTTTGGAATACCTAGGGGATTTATTTCCTTCCTATTTTAATGCCAAAACAATGAAGGGATATGCAAGGGGTTATATGTACAGTTAGATAGGAGGAGAAGGTATTATGTGTACGGTTGGATGAAAAGTGAGATATAAGGGAACGACACATGGCTTGATGATGTAAGCATGATGTTATGAGGACATATGTCATCACAAGACGAAGAGGCAAAATAGATGGCCAAGATTAAGCCACACATACACAAGATCAATAGCCAAGATTTAAGCTTGCTTTTATATACCCCTTATCATCCCTTTAGACCAAGTTTCTGGCCAAATGAGAAAGAGAAGGGAGGAGACTGAACAAGCAAAGGGAGAAGGAGAAGAGGAATTTCAAGTGATCCCATGCAAAATCAAGCTCTAAAACATGGTTTTTTATGTAGTTTTTATTACCCTTGTTGTTGTTGAGCTTGGTTATGGCTTTTGATGGCTTTTGGGGTCTTGAAACCCTAGGGGGTATGTTGCACTAAATTTCTAAGTTAAAGGGAAGATGAAACTGGTGTGAGAATAATGTTTAAAGGCTTACAAGGAATGAGAATCAAGTAGTCTTATATTGAAATTGAATGAATCCAACTTCCCCTAACTTTGTGTAATTTTTGACCAAACTTAGGGTTTATGTTAGGGTTAGATTTTGATGATTTCGATGCTTTCAATATATTTAGAATGAAAAATTGTGTGGGGTAAATGTGAGAAAGCAAGTTTGAAAGCATTATAATTGAAAATGAAATTTTTACCCTAAAACCTTATAGTTTCAGCCAAGGCTTATTTATGGGGAACGAGTTGGAATTTTTTAATTTTCAGTTTGGAAATGGATTCTACATGCAAAATTATGTGGGAATAGCATATGGAATTAATTTTAGAAAGATTGGAAATGAAGTTTAAAAGTTATGAGACATTATGGCTTAAAGAGAGCAAAGTATTATGTTACTTGTGATCATGGATCTAGTAAGTGATTGGCATTATGAGTTGATGTTAATTAGGGCCATGAGACACTAAGAGAGATGAACGAAAAGGTTGATCAAGTAATTTGGGTGGTTGGAAGCAAAGGGAGCAAGAGGAAAACTTAAAGGTTACAAGGTAGTGAACTTACCCTCTTAAATGCTTGACATGTATGCTTGTGTGTTGACGATGCTTGATGATGATTAGAAAGGATGATTGGTTAAATGTTGCTCTATGTTTTGCTTAATTCTTTTGCTTAATTTATGGCCATGCATGTATGCAATGTTGAGCATACGAATGTGTTATTTTTAGAGTATGAAAGTATGTGAACCAAACATGTCATACACTTGTATTTGTCTTGCATGCATTTGGATAATGTTTACTACTGATATTCTCCAAAATCTCACCCTCACTTAATCAAACATCATAGGTTTATGCTCAAGGGAAAGCAATACTTGGAGGAGAACAAAGAAAGAAGGAAGAAATGTGAAATAGTGCATTATATTATGTTATGTGACTATGAGATTATCTGTGCCAACTAGTGATGTGTATTAGAAATGACATTATTGACATGTATGATGGACTATCATGATGTATGGGAGTGATAATGCAATGTTGGATTGGTATTGTATATATATTGGATTTATCACGAAATGTTATTGCAAGTTAGAAGATAAAGTATCCCTAAATATGTAGTAAACTTGGTGATCACATGAATCTGGACAAATGGAGGAGTCTGACTATGAAATTTGATAGAACTATAGATCTCGTTTTAAACTTTAAAATAAGTGGTAGATAACTCAAATTGGAATTTTGTACGAAAAGTTATGCCTATCCAAAGTTAGGCAAAAATCCTGAAAATTGGAAAATTTACCAAATGAAAAGTAAACTTCACGGAATAAACTGTATGAATGGGCAAGGTTAAGTCCAATTTGATATTTTCCCCCTAGAGATAATTGAAAGATCTTCAAATAGAATTTTGAACCACCTTAATATAATTTTTTTTTATAATTAGTTATGAATTTTCAAATTTGGATTGAAAATCTAGAATTTTTAGTGAATAGTAACCTGAGCACTAGAATGCAAATTTTCAATCTACGGCCTTGTTTTGTGAACTACTTGAACTGCAACGCTTCCAAGTGCGTACGAAAGAGGGTCTAAGGAAGGATGTTTCAGAAGAGATGGAGGAGGTGTATAAGGTGGAGTAGGAAGGAGGGAAAGAGGACGATGTCCTTAGTAAGTGCACCTATAGCTTACCGTTGCTAGTGTCTCACCATGGTAGAAGGATGGGGAGAGGGAGAGCAATTTTTGATACACAAAGGAGTCCGGGAGAGGTGTTTAAATAGAGAAGAAACAATGCCTTAGTGGTTGGGTATATTGTTGTAACATGTTGAAATTCTAAACCAAAATTTAGTTATATTTAGGCTTGATTTGGGGGAAAAAGCTAAGTAATTAAGCCTTGAATTGGGTGGGAATAAAAGCAAATGTTGTTGTTTAAGGTTACTTAAGGCATAAACACACAAAGGATGATGATTGAAAACCATGTCTTTTAGAATTTTCGGAGCAGTCTTGGAACTTGGAGATTTGAAAAAGTTAAACAAAAATATTTCTCAATGATTCTTTTTGTATTTGAAATTAGACACTTCAACCTTTCTAATAAAACTTAATTTATAAATTTTAGAAATGCATAGAATGAATTATAAATTTTTGAAGTTAAGCTACCTTATTACCTATA